AGCCTAATTAAACAATTAATCCCATAATCGATTTAATTTATTAAAATAAGTCATATTTTATTGTTCATTGTTTGTCATATTTATATATACTAGGTGCAAGCAACGTGCAATGCACGTTTGCGTAGTTTATATTTAATAGTTTTGTTTAAAAATTAATTTGTTATTAATAAAGATGTAATTTTTTTTGTTAATTAAATAATTAATGATGTAATGTTTATGTAATTGATAAATAATTAGATGTGTGATTTTGATGTTGTGATGTAAATTGGTGAGATCGAAGAAAATAAGCAAAAGTTGACAAATTTGGAGAAATGACTAAATTGTAAGGGATCCAAAGTTCGGGGACTAAAATGTAAATACTTAAAAGTTGTGCCGAACCTCACGATGAAGATTTGAGAGTGCTCGGAGTCAATTGGACAAAGGAAGATGTCAATGGAATCAAATTTAGGTAAAAGATGATCACAAATCAATTTCCAACCGAAAAGTTATACTCCGATGTTTTAGTTTCATATTGAAACCTATTTTTGGCATAGAAAGTGATCGAATTGGAGAATGATGTCTAAATCAAAGTTGTAGCCAGATGAGTTAGCTTTCCAACGCATTTTGAATCGCATCAATCGGAAATCGGAATACAAAGTTATGATAAAAACACTGAAAGAAGGTGCAGCTGCCTGTTTAAAATAAGAAATTCCGTTACATAATCCGTTAAAATAACAAATTCCGTTAGTTTTTCCTTTAAAAACAAGAAATTCTGTTACATAGTCATTTTTAATATATAGAAGATATTCACGTAGCAAAATAAATAAAATGAGATATGTAGCGTGAAAGTTGGGCAACGAGTTATTAATATAAATTCAATCTACATTAATGGTGACTACGATTGCATTAAATATATATAAATATTAAACGTGTAATCAAAGTTTTGTGATCTTTATTTTCCACACGAAATATTTAATAGCATAGAAAAAAATTGATAATCATTGGTGGACCAAAAATAGTAACATGATTATTTTTAGTATGGTCAATGTTAAGACAAAAAATTAAACCTTAAATTTAAAATTATATGAAAAAAAAAATGGTAATTGAATTCCCAGTCCTAATTTGTAATTCGCATACGTTGTATTAACCTTTTAACAGTGCCAATCTTATCTAAAGTTTGTTAAAATCACAAAAGTATAGATTTGATTTAAAAATATAATTATACTCTTACTCTCAATTGACCGAACATTGATAATTAAGAGCTTGTTTGGGAGGGATTAAAATCGGATTAAAATTGAAAAATTAGCCATTATTGTTGACTTTTATTAGACAGGTGAGACTCAATAACGGTTATATTTTCAATTTTAATTGGATTAAAATTTCTTCCAAGCAGGCTCTAAAATGTTTAAAATCAACAGTCGTTTAAAATGTTTTTTAATTACTAAAAAATGAAAAGTTGGAATCAAAATATCAAGAAAATTTAAAGAGAAATTTGGAAAATGTAGAATACAGATTGCATAATTAAAAAATAATAGTGTCGGGAGGGAGAACACACGTAATGTTGAAAGGAGTTTCGTGTTAAAGTTCAATATTTGTGTAGAAAAGTCGTTAGCCTTAGCAGCCTTGGAAAATCTAGAACTTGTCCTTCTAAAACCAAAACGTTGTTAGAGTGTGCTGTCTCACCAAACCTATGTCGGATTTTTAATTGTCATAAAAACATTTGAAAAGTCACTAAGTCTGCACTATGTCAATAAATAATAAATAGTGAGGAAGCCTGTGATTCGATCACATTAGCTGTCGGTGCTGAGAGGTTTGGAATAAATCCTCCTTCGAGTTTCGACAGGTATAGTAGAAACATGCCTTCTTAGTGGTAAAATAAGTTAATATTATTCAAATTTAGGGATCGTGTGACGTTGTTAAAAGTTGGTTTAAATTGGTGAATCCCACAAATAT